TGCGTAACTAATAAGTGACACCAACGACGCGAAGGATCGAATGGTGAACTGGTCTTTTTGCGCCGCTAAATCCAGCTTGGTCACCGTCTTGATCGAATTGCGAACCTGCCGCTGCCCCTCCATCCAGGCAAACTCTTCACCCCAAAACACACAACCTTTTCTTCCTTCGCACAACAGCTCTTCATCCGTCCACGAAGCCACAGTCTCCCGCTCAGGGGAGGTGAGGAGGTTGGCTTGCCGTATCCGGCCAACAATCTGGCGCACCGCCGACACAAATGCCGCTTCCTGACCCTCCGCCGCGGCCACCAAGATGTTGTCGATCATCGTTTCAATAAACACGGGAGTGTCTATGTCGACGATGGTCCACGTAACTGCCTGGCCTACTGCGACGCTCCACCTCGCACCAGTCGGGAGCGTCTTCAGGCGATACATGCCACCATCTCGCGCGCGAAAAACGAACTTGTCCCTGATCTCCTCTGGCAGAGGGATAGCGTCGTAGAACGCCTCGAAGTCGAGCTGGAACATGTATCGGGCGAAGCGGAGACGTTGGCGGCGCTCCAGACGCGATAGGCGGGTGATGGAGGGGAGTTCACTCTTCCGGATGACTCCGTTGAGGTGCGACTCCGTTATCAAGCGGCGGCGGCCCTTCGCCTCGTACACGGTGAACAAGTTCACACCGTGCACCCCATCTGGGAGCGGGTGGCGCACATTCTCGCTGCAGCGCTCAAACTTGCCGCGGGCCACAGCCGCCTCCAAATCCGTCTGCGACAGTTTGACAGTTTTCACCGTGCGCGACGTGCGCAGGAACTGAAATGTTTCGGGTCGCATGTAACGGAACGACTCCGACAAAAAACTGCGAGTCCAGGAGTGGGCGGTGGGCATGCGGAAAAGCGCTTCCGCGTCGAGGGGCGTCGTCTCTTTGAGATGCAGTGGCCAGGCGGACGGTGGTGGAAGCTGCAGCGGTGGTAGCCCTTCACGCCGGCGGATCTCCGCAAGGAGGACGTTGTCGTCAACCCTCAAGTCTCTTGCAGTGGGGGCCTTCCGGCCTAGGTGCTCTGCCTTTGCAAGACCGCAGCAACGTTGTCCTGTGCAGCTACGTCCTCCGCCGTAGCTTGCAGGCCATAGCCCAAGTACCGCCGCAGGGTCTCCAACCGCGTGTGACCGGTGATCCGCATCAGGATCGCCTCCGGCACCCCTTGCGCCGCTAGGTTCCTGGTGGCCCCCTTGCGAAGCGATGGAAGCGCCGCCGACGAGTTCACCGCACGGATGGCCTCTCGCACTCGGGTGCGCAGCGGGATATCGTCGGGGAATATTCTGCCCCCGAGTGGACGGTTCGCCATGATGCGTTGCACCACGCTGGCATCCACGCGGCTCAAAACTGTCGGGATCGTCTACGGCCCGCGGAACCGGGCACCTTTTCCCCGACGCACCGTCACCTGCATGCGGACCGAACGGGGTGCTACCTCTTCTGCAAAATGAATGTCCTTGACGAGCAGGTTCGTCACATCGCCAGGCCGCGCAGCGCAGGCCCACATCAGCACAAGAAAAGCGTCAGACTCGGGGTCGACGCGGACTGCAGTCAAGACCCGCTTGTACTCCTCCACCGACAACGGCACCGGCGGCTGTGGCTCCGACTCGCGCTCGAAACGTCGGGCTCCCGATATAGCTTGGCGCCACTCCGGTTCCCGGGCCAAGTCCACCGGCCGCGTCTGGTTTGTGTAGAGGGGCAGCTGGAGTAGAGCGGCCTGAATGGACGCGTAGTGTCGCGCCATCGTCGACCACTTCCAATGGCGTGCGCAGCCCATCCTTCGCACCAGCTCGACCGCCGCCGTGTGCAGCGGGAGCGACAAGAGATCCTGGGGCATCGCGCGCAGGTTCTCCAGCCACGTGCGGTGTTGGATGCGCACCTGCGGGTTCATAGCCGCCCACGCCACCTGAGACACATGAGGGGGCTTTCCGGGATGGATGAACCAATCCCGCGGACAGGCACACCCCTCCGGATGCCTGCCGTTCCAGTTTAAAGGACCTGAAAGCCCTGTGTTCAGCGCACGGTCCATTTCCCCATGCGGGTCGTCCACCGGGGAACCCTGAGCAACGGCCCTCTGATCAACACGTCGTCGCGGCACAGGAGATGGCAAACCAGTGTGTACCGGCGCGCTGAGCACGTACAAGCCGACAGATGCCACGGAGACCTCACGCGTCACCGTATCGTGGCCAGGCTGCTCGGTACGTGAGCGGACATCCGCATGGTGCTCCGCCCCGAGCGTAAAGACGTGCTCATCGATGCTGGCCGGAAGCGGGACATCCTCCATTGCTCGGATCAAGAAAAAATATCGTCTGGAGCGGATATCCACGTCCTCAAGAATACGCGGTGGCCCCATTGGCTGCTGTACCCCATAGTGAAGAGGAGTGTGCCCAAGCTTCGCGAGGGCGGACGGAACGCTTTGCGGCACTCCCGTCGGGAAACCGGCGCGAGTGACGCGCTGACGGATGGCGGGAATTATAAGCGCGCGATACTGACCGTCAGCCACCGAAGCCAATACAGATGCGGACAACATGTAGCCCATACCGATTACCCACGCGTGGGGCTCGCTCGACTCGTAGGTCGCCTCCCAAGCACCCTCGGCACAACCCGTAAGCGGTGAGTCCGTCGTGGCGGCCGGCTGCAATTTGTTCAGGGCCGTTGGAGGTGGTGGGGTTGCAGGCGCCTGGTGCGGCGCAGGAATGAGGGAGGAAGGCTTCCCGAGGAGGGCCGCGCTGATGTTGCGCAGAAAAACGTCTCTTTTCGGGTGGTTCTGGGCTGCGGCGAAGAGAAAAGTCCGCAGGCGTGCCGGGAGGTCAGCCGCGGGGACGATGGTGATGCCTAAATGATGCGCAAAGAAGTTCGCTGTCATGAAAATGCCACAGTCGTCGCTGTCGCGTGCCTGACGCTGGCAAGGGCAAAATTCCAGCTCTATCGCAGGCCAGATGCGACGGACCCGCTTCCACAAATCTCTGTGAACCGCCCAAGACGGCGCAGAGTCGAAGATCCGGAGAAGCAGTCCCTCGCCTGTTCCATCACAAGACGCACTGGAGAGGATGCCTGCGATCCAGTGGTGGTGGCTAAAGAGGGGGACATACAATGTGCCGTGCGCCATCAGGCGGGCTTCGATCTTCCGCTTGAGGGCAGAGACAGCGGGGTTGGAGAGGGGGTCAAGGACACCACGTGGCGCAAGGTCGGGTAAAGTGCGACACGGGAACGTCTGCCCCGAAGGGAGGTAGCGGCGATACAGGTCATCCAGCTCAACACTGGACGTGCGCCCTTGGCGGAGGTCACCTCCCCACACGACCTCACCGAACGGCGCAGCTGGATGAGCCTCTGGTGGCCCCGCCGGCCCTTTACCGGGGCGGCAGGGCTCCCTCGTTTTTTGGTGGGCGAACGGCGGAGGAGGGTACCGTGTCGGGGGCAGCGCCGCCGCTGTAGTACGCGGTACGGCGAGAGCGCGCGCGGCCAGCGTTGGTGCGGCGTTGCTGCTGGTGTTGCTGCTGCTCCTGGTTCCGCGCAGTAGAGATGAGAGTCTTCAATTTCGACTCTATCTCCTGGTGCCGCTGCGCATCCGAGGCTTGCAGTCCTCCAAGGAAGGCCTCGAGGTCCGACAGATCCACATGGGCCA